CGATTTAGTGGTTAAAAATGAGCTAATGACAAGCTAAACAACAAATCATATAAATGATAAATTAATGTAGATAAGAAATGTTCTTTTGAAACATTGAAAATTGATAATATTCAAAGGTAGCTCAATAGATATACAAAAAAAGTACTTTGACTATGATTTGTTTTATGGATTTACTATAACCATCTTAATGTACACTAAAAAGATTATTGGTTTACTATAATATAACAGAAAAATTGTTAATATACAACAAAAGTACAAAACTGTAAAAACATATCTAGTGATTGACAATTAATAAACAATTAAAAAGTAGGACTAATATTACAAAATCCCATGTTTTTGTCACTAAATTAGCAAAAGCCCTGAATTTATTTTTTCATTGATTGTGGACACGATATTTTCGTATACTTATCACTTGGGAGCTAATAGATGGTAACGAGAAGGTTACATGTACAATCCGGTCACCACTCTCCTTAAAATGTTACCTCATCCAAATTCTAACCTATTTCCTAGCCATCACCTTTCACGAACCATCACAGAGAAAGCGTTTTCATGCATTCGTGAAGGATTTCATGTTGAGAAGGGTTTTACAGTCCCCGATTTTGCATCTTTGAGCTCTGAAATCGTTGGTGAAGTAAGGTGGAGTAGGAAGGTATGTATATGGAAACAATGAATGTGAAGAGTTTTGTGGGTGGTTATCTTCCTTATGGATTTACAACTGCGAACTAACAAGTTTGATTTTTTTTATTACTTTTGGAACTAAGAAGATGAAAGTGCCTGAGAAGACTTATCTTCCAGACACTGACTCCAATAATGAAGCTTTTGACTTTAGCTTCTTAGATTTTTCTAAAGAAACTTTCAAAATCCCCTCAATACTATGTGATGACACTTTCCTTAACTTATTCTGTGATGAAAACATTTTAAGGAGGAGTATTGATGGAATGGTGGATGATGGAGACAATCTTGGTGGCTAACAAAATGAACATTCCCACTTAGAGAAGGACGATGAAGATATTGATGTGGAGTATAAGGTGCATGATCCCATTGTTGACTAGAAAGAAATGAGGCCGCAATTCAGAGACTATTATGAATCCCCTTCTCAACTAAGTCTTTCTTTAACAAACTATGTCGTCCATGGAGGATACTAACTTTATTTTGAAAAAAGTAATAGAGTGAGGGTTATATCTAAGAGTGGAAGTGGAACTTGTGACTATAAAAAAAAATGTTGTGTCCATTTAGGGTTATTGTTGGATGGAAGTATAATGAAAGGAAATTCTAGATTAAATTATGTAATGACATTCATCTATATGCTAGGAATTGTCACTTTGGTTCCCTAGTTACTAACAATTGGATAGCAAAACACTACCTGAAAGATGTAATCATGAAGCCGAAGATGACATTTCTAGAGATCCAAAAAGATGTGTTACAAAGGTTTTCACTAAGTGTATATGTTGGGTAATTCCAAAGAGCAAGGACTATGGAAATGGGGATGCTAGAAGGTAAGTTAGAAGACCACTATGGGAGGGTTTGGGACTATACAACTGTAATTAGGTTGACTAATCCGGGTACAACTTGGTTGGTAGGGGTAGAAAGTAATCTTGGGTTTAACTATTTCAAGTGGTTTTATGTTGGCTTCAAGGATTTCAGAGATGGATGGAATAGAGGTTGCAAAAGGGTTATAGTACTTGATGGTAGTTTCTTGAAGGGGCAGATAAAAGGGGAGATTTTAATTGCTATTGGGAGAGATGTAGATAACCATGTCTAACTATTAGCATGGGCAGTTGTGAATTTTGAGAATAAGGACAATTCGACCTGGTTCATTGAGAATTAGGTTGCCAATATGGATCTTGGTGTTGTCAATGGATTGGTTGTTATCTTAGACCAACACAAGGTACATACAATATATATTAGTATACAATATAGATTAGTCTATGTAATAGTCATTAATTGTAACATGAGTTTGTTTTTTAATTGTAGGAACTTCTATAGGCTGTGGAAGATCTACTCCCTTATGTTGAGCACAAACAATGTGCTAGATACATCTTTGCAAATTTCAGGAATAAATACATAGGATTGGAATTGAAGAATTTGTTCTGGGAATCTGCTATGAGTACAATAGAAGGGGACTTTGTTGCTACAATGGAAAAGATAAAGAATATAACAGAAACATGATACAATTATCTTATGGCAAGGAAACCTGAAACCTGGTGAAAAGCCTTCTTTTCTCATGGGTATGCTTGTGAGGCAGTAGAGAATGGTATTTCAGAATGTTTCAATGTCACGATCAAGGAAATGGGGAAGAAGCCTCTACTTGCAATGCTTAGGGAAACAAGGATTTTCCTAATGAAAATGTTTTATTGTCAAGGAGAAGAAGTATCCAAATAGAGGTTTGGTGCCAAGTGTAGGTGATGTGTTTGAGACAAGGTATGCCTATAATGGATACAAGGTGGATTTAGCTACTCACACTTGCACCTAAAATTTGTGGATGTTGTCAGGCATACCATGTGTGAATGGTCAAGCTGCAATCAAATTCATCCATAAAGATCCAATTCAGTTCATTTCTTCATGGTTCTACATGGACAAGTATGTTGCAACATACATGGAAAACATACTACATGTAAGTGGAAGCAACTTGTGGCCAAGGACTGAGTTTATTAAGCCATTACTACCCCTAGTTAGAAGGATGTATGGAATACCTAAAGTAAAGATAGTGAACCGGGCATCAGAATCACAAGAAGCCAAATACCCTTAAAAAGGTTACATTTGCATAGGACTGTGAGTTATGGAAATTGCCAATAGCTTGGGAATAATAATGTTTCATTCCTAAATGTGAAGTACCTAAGCCTCCTATCCCAAAAGGGAGATTGGAAGACCTAGGAAAGATGAGGGAGGGAAAAATATCATTGACCAATTCCCCCCACTTAGGCCTATTATACAAAGAAAGGATGATGCTCCTCTTGTTTCTAAATCTGGTGTTTAAGATGGTGCTCCTCTTGTTTCTGAATTTGGTGGTCAAGATGTGCTCATCTTGTTTCTGAATTTGGTGGTCAAGATGATACTCCTCCTATTTCCGAAGTTAGTGGTCAAGATGGTGCTCATCCTAGTTCTTAATCTGGTGGTGTTGTTACTTCTATGAAAAGGACTAAGATGGTGGCAAGGAGATGAGGGAAAGATAAGGTTTCTGGACAAAGGTACAAAACAACAAAGAAAGCCTATGGTAAGCAACCTATGTATCAAGGAGGTGAGGATGTGTCCCTAAGGTGTGATGAGGCTTTTTATGACCTTTTCACCCATACACCAAATGGTAAGCAACCTATGAGTCAAGCAAAGAAGGATGTCCAGGAATAAGAAAATGGAATTATGGTGAAGGTGAATGAAAGAGTAACTTTAAAGGAGTTGATACAATCTATATATACACATGATGATGCAGTGGCTGCTTTGAAAAAGTTATGTGTTGTTACATTATTTTGTTTGTAGATTTACTAACTAGACATCCATATTGTAGTGTTATGGAGAAGTTGAGGAAACATATGTCCAATAAAGAGATGCTCTGGAAAGCAAGTTTGGGGAATGAGAAGTTTTAGAGAGAGAGAGAGAGAGAGGTTGGAGCAAGAGTGGTACCCTTGAGTCTTGGTTATTACAATATATGTTGGGTGAAAAAGAGGACTCCGTCTGAAAGAATTAGGAAACTAAAGCTCAAGAAAATGGTCCAAGATCCTGATGGTTATGGTTCTACTAAAACCCCTTGGGTTTTAGATTAAGAAGTTGAGTTTGAAGGGTTGAATGGGTAGAATGGACATTAGTGAATAGGTTTCCCTTTTTGTAAACATCTACTAATTAAGAAGTTGTTTTTATAGGGTCGAATAGGTAGAATGGGCATTAGTAAATTGGTTGCACTTTTTGTAAACATCTACTTTTGGTACACTTGTCTTTTGGTAACAAGCTTCCGATTCCTATCCATAATGTTTGGTAGAATTGGAAGTTGGTTCTTATTAGGTTACCTAGTATGGTAATGGTTTGTGGGAAGCTTTAGAAAGTACATTCCCCTTTTTGGGTTGTTAACTTACATTGACATTGGATGTATGAAGGTCAACGTATCAATATATATGCCTTGATCAATATAATTGTTATTACCTTCCATGTTTTGGTTAGTTTGTTAAGTAGCTTGCCATTACATTTTCAAGATTTGGTCATTTTTTGTACATAGGTATGTCCTAAAGCTATTACCATCTTGCACGTTCCACTAACCGCGATCATAATATGAGAATTCTTACTCTCACTTGACAAAGAGTCAGATCGTCTATATAGACCTCAAGCTAAAAAAGACAAGAAAGCAATACACGCCTAATAAGTCTCGGAAAATAGAAAGTCCGAAATCATTGTGTTCTCAAGGCCAAAGGCCAACCGTCTACTCAATATCCTTGTACGAGTCCACAATAACTACACGAGATAAGCCTTGGTTTGGTGAATTGAAGTTGGCCTTGGGTGTAATAGGACTCCCAGTTACTGTATGCGATCGTCTACTAAGGTGCTCCCCGCCGGTTGTTGGAATGACGCGAGTCGGGCCGGGTCTCGATTCAGAAAGATGAAGGGCTGAAGCCTTTTCTTGTTCATTCTTCTAATGAGGCTATTGGGGACTAATTCCTTTCGGCTAATGAAGAGACTACTCCAGTCTTCCCATTCATTCCCATCCTTCTTCTCCCTAAGAATTGAACGAACTAAGTTTACCTATTCGAGAGTGAGGAAGAAAAACCAACAAGAAACTTCCCACTTTTTATGTCCTACGATTCCAGAGGATGGAAGTTACTCGGTTAAGAGGATTAGGGAATAAACGAAGGAAAGAAAGCTTAACTCGCTCGAACTTCCGAGGGATAGTAAACTCAATCTTGAACCGCTGTTTAGATTTCTCTTTAGCCTATGAGGTTTAATGACAGACCGTGGTAACTTCAGAGATAATACATTGTTGTCATTAGGACTATCGTTGTCGTCTCTTACAACACCAAACTATTGACATACATAACACATGCATCAAATTACTGTCGAACTTGACCAAAATACCCTTACACGTAAACTATTACTACCATTCCACCTGCACCTAACTAATGCCCACAACTTCACACTGCTTATAACCACAACATTGTGAAGCATAAAACCCATTAAAATCACCACCACAAAAAGCACGACAATCATAATTAGCACCACCTTCAACAAGTTTAAAATCTCCATTTGAACAGCTTGGTTGTTCTTGGCCTCCTCTGAAAGCTTTAAAATCTCCATTTCAAATGCTTTGTTCTTCTTAGCCTCATCGAAATCCAAAGAGAATTTCCATATGGTTTCCTTGTAGTAAGTGTTTGGAAGTGGTGGATCAAGCGAAAAAACAAATTAGCATTGTTTTGGAATCCTGCGCAACATGACTACTTGTTCTTACTAGTTCAAGCGCACAAAAAAAAGTAGAAAACTTAAGGTCGATATTACCTGATATTTTGGACACCCCCTGAATTTCCTCTATGGATTCTCGATAGTTTTGGAGATCAAGAAAGTAGCAAGTTCATCACACTCGCATCTCAAATATTCTTACCACCGATTCGTTAAAGCACATTCTATGTACCCTTGCATGTGCGTGTTGGAGGACGATACCATGTTGTAGGATTGAGGTTGGAGAGGAGAATTGGCTTGACCTAGCTAACAACTAATGTCTAACGTTCATCTTTGCTTCGTAACTTGCTGAAACCGGTGAAACCGACACATTGCCTTTTTTCTATAATTCCATGAAAATATCCTGTCCGTAGTCAACGAAAAAATAAATTAAGGGCTTTCGTCAATTTAGTGGCAAAAACATGATACTTTTATGATATTAGTCCTTACAAAATTCTTTTATTACGTCTAGTCATTGAAAATTAATAAACAATAGAGAGGTTCTTTTATCGATTAACGACGAATACCTTAGCACAAAGCAAAATTAGAAAAGAAAGACGAACAAATAATAAAATGAGGATTTGGAGAAGATTTCTTACTAGGGGTTGGCTTCGGCGAAAAGAAAGGGAGAAGCAAGAGACGAAGATGACAATGACAACGAATTCTGAGTGATGAACGGAAGGACTACAAAACAAATTTGGAGATTGGTGGTGAACTTCGAGCGTAGGGTTTTTGTGATGTAGAACACGAGGACTTAAATAGAAACTATTCCATTTTTTAAGGGATTTTCCATATATAATAAAATTTATTTTTGTCTTATGAAAATGAATATATATCACATAAAATCATTACAATTTTAACTTTTTTAATTCTTTATCAAGGGTTTCTTAAAAAAAAACTCTAAAGATTTTAAAAAGATCCACTTTTCGCATCACATTTAATAATTTTTAAATTATTATGCTTTTTTTTTTAATATACTTTTTAAGAGATGTGTTTACAGTATTATCTTTTTTATTTTTATTAAATTAATTTTTTAGATTATTTATATTTAAATATATCTTATTATTAAAAAATATTACATTGATTATTTTAACGTTAAAGCATGAATTTTTCTAACTTTTTCTTATTTATTTATTTATTTATTTTAAAGATTTTTACAAATAATTATGTGGTTGGATTGATTTTTTATTTTCAATTTAAAATCAACTAACTTTTCAAGTAAATCCTTTAGATTTTCAATGTTTTTTTCCGGTTATTTTTTTAAAGATTTTTCGATTCATTTAGTTGGAATCTATAGCCTAAAAATTGAAATTAATCATAGCTTTTTTAAAATTTGTTCTTTTATATGAAATCGGAGAATAAACCTGTAACTTTGTTTTACAACATATGATTTTCTTTTTGTATTGTATTTTTCAACATGTAAATATTTTTAACTACTTGATGTCATGTTCGTTGTGTAAAAAAATTATTTTTTTAATAATTAAACTGTAAATCTATATCTAATGCAAAAAAAACTAACACATTAATTAAAAGTACGAAAACATATGTAATATATTACATAAGATAATAATTAAAAAATATAACATATCTAGCTCACATTCTTTGAAAAATATATTTGTATGTATAAATAAAATCTACAACATATGTAATATATTACATAAGATAATAATTAAAAAATATAAGATACAGTACTTTATATAACATGTTAATTAAAAGTAAGAAAACTAAAAGGAAAAAATGGCGTTATCTAAATCATCATGCAAGTGATCTCCAGCTTAGCTGGGTTGATGCATCGGGTTTTATATCCATATGGGACGTGAGGTTGGGAATTCTATTCCCTTAAACTATCTTGTAGGCTTCTTCTATGTGGGTGCTCGTTGAAACATTACGATTAGCCTTCTTCTAACAAAAAGAAAATCTAAATCGTCAATACGACCGGTTAATTATTTATCGCTAAGATTGTAGATTCTTTTACCTAACTAAAAAAACGTATCTCTCCTTTTGACAAAAATTGGGTTTGGAAGGAAATTTTGTGGGTGGAAATTGGACGTAGACAAAATAGAAGGGAGCCACAATGAAAGTGATCAGACGGTGGAAAATGGAACCCACATGTTCCTCACTGTAACCCCGCTAGGGTAACATACAGTGGACCCCACACCCTGCACGTACAAGCATTAGAAGATCCTGTTGAACCCACGGTCTTGTATCCCCATCTTGCCCATACTTTTTTCACATAATTTCAAAATTGCCCCACCAAACTGGGTTCACCCATTGATGTTAGCCTTAGCCATACCAAACTGGGTCCTAGTCAACCGAGCCCGTCTGAGACATTGATTGAACCAACACCTTACTAGTTGCCTTGTTGTTTTGACATTTTATGAATTAGTGGTTCATCTAGGTGGACATTGATTGGACCATTCAACTAAAATGGGTCATATTTCATGTTCCCTTCCATCGGTAAATGTTACAAACTTCTATAACATTTAGGTCCACTTCATCTACTATCCTTCAATCTTGTCTTATATTTTGTTTTCCGTATTAATAAATAGAATTAACCATTTTGCACTTAAGGTTTACCTAACATTTATGTAGATCTAGATAGGGGTATTCGGTCGGTTTTTTTGGTTTTCAGTTTATACGGTTCGATTTTATCGGTTTTTTTACATCTTAAAACTAACCATAACCAAACCAAATAAGATTTGGTTTAATCGGTTATGGTTAATTCGGTTACAGTTTATTCGGTTTGGTTTACCGGTTAAACCAAATAAAATTTTGTATGTAAAAACAAATATTAAACTAAAAGAAAAAAAAACTTACTGAAGTTTTACCAAACGAATAAAACGCACTAATACACAACATATTATATTTAGTCTTTTATGATATGTTGTCTTAAGGTATTGATGTAGCCACACAAGTTATAGATGCGTTAATATAGCTTTAGACATATATGAAGAGAAAGAAATGACCAAATGTTAATTGACATTTGGCTATTTAGTTGTAACATACATGTTTTGAAATCGTGTTTTAAGTAAATAATATTATGAAATATTATGTGAATTTAAATGTTGAGTTCTAACCGATAGTTTTTACTAAAATGAAATAAAACTATGTTTACAATCACTTATAAAATATTGTAAGTCTTATGAAATTCCAATTAAAAGCTAAATAATGAAATATAACAAAATATAAAATTTGAAATAAGTAATATTTTATTATTGAAAGTTGTAGATAATCTCGTTAGAAACATTTAAGCGAAAACATCATCGAAATCCGAGTTATAACGAATAAGTTATGACCAATCGAAGATCCGCGACAAAGCCGACACGACGCCGAATGACATAAAAAGTGAGTTTTTGATAAACTATTTTTTAGTTTTACTAATCTAAATGAAATTCGTAGTATTCCTTAAACTGAGAAGTTCGATAAAAAGAACGCCAAAATCTGACTTCGTATGAGTAAGTTATCATTTTTCGAATTTTCAGCTTAGCAGTAGACAACTAAAAATTCGAAATTTAGATCGAGTGATTTTTAGCCGACACAACCTAAACGAGAATTGAAGGTCTCGTCATTAGTAGTACAACGGTAAAAATTCTGACAAAAACGGATGTCGGATGAAGAAGTTATGAATTTTTAACAGATTTCCTGTCTCGGTCTGCTAAAAATAATAATTTTAAAATTAAATCAAAATTAGCCGAAGAAGTCTAAACGAAAGTTGTAGAGCATAATTTTAGATATGCGTGCATATAAAGAACGTCAAAAACAGAGCTTGTATGCGAAAGTTATGGATTTTAGAAGTTTTTGCACAAAAATCGAGAAATTTCGCATAGGTGGCTTCGGCCACATCAGCTTCGCTGCATATGTGCCACGTGTCCGAAAATCTACTGAGTCATCCGAGACGTGTCGCATGAACAGTAGCCACGTGTCGCTTCAGGATTCAACCGAAGTCTCGGCCCTCGCACATCCGATGCGTGTGCACCCCCATATCCGAGCCGAAGACCGAGCTGATGATGCGCCTGAAGCCGATGACTCCTCGCATCCGAGCCTCGCCGAAGATGCCATCTGGTCTGAGCCTCGCACCTGGCCGCCTTGCAGGCGCGACGTCTGGCCTTCCGAGCCTCGCTCTCCCTGCCGCATGTCTGATCTTCATACCACCTGGTCCTTCCCTCTTGCTTCGGATTCGAGGCTCGCACCTATATAAGGGGTGCGAGACCTCCCGAGTAAATGTTAGAAATTTTCCACTTTTTACCCCTAAACTTATATTTCTTTTACTTCCACTTCCCCCAAATCCTCGGTACTAATTCCAAAGCCCGAAACACGCCCCGAGACTCCCGAGAAGCCCAAAAAATTTATCTTTTCAGTTTTGAAGGTCTACCTTCGCAGAGCCCGGTTTTCAACGAAGAAAGTGATATTTAGAGTCGAAGTGCTGCCCAACTTACTATTTTAGTCCTCGGTTATTTCATGCTGAGTTTAATATATAGGAACAATTGTATGTTATGTGTTATATGTGCTATGTGCTTTTCAGTGTTATTATTTCGGGTCATTTTCCCAGGTTATTTTTATTCGCTATTTTAATAGCAAAGAAATGCCTTTGACCATGTGATCAGTGAAAGGACTTAGATTCACGTTGGTACTGGTATGTAGTGTGACATCCCCAAAATCACGGCCAGAAAAGACCGGTTTTGTTTATACTTTATTTCAAAATCAGAGTTATCTTTTAATAAAAGGGTTGCGGAATTTGTCCCAAAACAATAATATGATAAAGATTTATCAAAAGCATTTCCATAGAAATGTATTTCATTAAAAGACTCGGGATGTCATGTTCGTACAGATCAAAAGTATAAACAGTACAATATAAGCCTTAC